TGGGTTCCAGTTTTATTTTTAATGACTTCTAATTTTCCTAGATACATACTTCGTACATTCCACGTTCTGATTATTAATGGGTGTTTGCCACTGTTTCTTCTCAGTATTTGTTGTTCTTAAGTGCCGTCGAGTCGATTCCGACTCATAGTGACCCTGTATAGGGTTTTTGAGGAGTGACTGGTGAGCTTGAACCACAGACCTTGCAGTTCAAACGGCTTTGCAGTTTGGCGCATTAACCCATAGCACCACACCAGGGCTCTGCTTTATGAGCAGATTATGCTATATCAGCAAATGAAGATTCTGAAAGCTTTACTTCATACACATCATTAGTATTTACTGAGGAGGCATCTCTTTCCTAGTAGTATTTTGAATGCCTTCCAACCAGAGGGGCTCATCTTCTGGCAGTATATCAGATAATATTGTTCTGCTACTCATAAGTTTTTCACTGGCAAGTTTTTTTCAACAATAGATTGCCAAGTCCTTCTTCCCAGTCTGTCTTGTTCTGAAAACTCCACTGAAATCTGTCCACCATTGATGACCCTGCTAGTATTTGAAATAGCTGTGCATAGCTTCCAGTATCACAGCAACCCACAAGCACTAAAGTATGACAAACTGATACAAGTGGTAGATTAGCAGTAATTAAAAAATATACTCATAGAAACCCAGATGGTAATATATTCTGTACTTTTATAAATGTAAAATTAGGTTTTTTAATGCTGATGTGGAAAAAGTGGTTCTCTGACTTTGATTTTTGTATCTGTACTAATTTGATTATAAGCCTATATGTTGCTGTACTTCTAATTTTTGTCTAAGTTCTGTGTAAAGTTTTGAGCAGAACAGTGACTTTACAAAGATACTAGAGATGGCTCTTTCTAAATAGGCTGTTTTGGGTATCTACTTTTAGAAAATTTAAAACATACATCAGCTTTTTAATATGAATCTAAAGTTGCCTCAATTCATTAATATTCATGTAAATCTTATAAATAGATAACTGTATTTCCTTTACTTGATTTTAGATACCGAGGATAAATGAGAGCAATATGCTGCCTTTGCTTTTGAGAGAATCGTTCATACCCAGCATAGGAAGGTTTCTCGCATACTCAGATAATAAAGTGCATGCTGTGTTTTTAGATGGCATTACCCTAACCTTAAATTGGAATTGCAGCGTTTTCACTGAACAGAGACAGGTGAGGATACTTCAAACTGAAATCTCTATTGTTTTTCTGTGGAAAACAGAAAAAAGAAAAATATCAAATTATCTTTTTTTTTTTAAGTATAAATATGTCTAGAGGCTTTACTGATCTCATTGGATTTCTTAGTAGTCATAAGAATGGTGTGGCACATCATAGTTTTAATAAAGATAATTCATTATAGAGGTGCTAGTATTTTTATTCTTTTTAATGATTTTACATGTATATAAGAATGATTATAAAATACCTGTATCCCTTGTCAAATATAAAATTTTAATTAATCAAAATGCATTTTTTAAAGGTTTTTATTGTGGATTGAGTGAAAGTTTACAGAATAGATCATTAGTTTTACATTCAACAAATCATACACCTTCTTTCATTATAATAATTATAATCCCCTCAATGTACCATCAGTTAACAGTATTCTCTCTATTTGCTTTAGCTTTTTAAAAAAACCACTCAGGCATATATAATAATTTACATCTCCAAAGGGCACATTCTGCAAGTCTGCCTTCTGGTCAGCAGCTCTTAGTCCCTCTCTTCCCATGAATCTAGAGTCCTCAGCTGCTACCACTCTCCATGCCCCCATCTCTGCCTCCATCTCTGGCGTCACTGCTTCTCTGGAGA